AATTTTCGTTGTTGGCGTTTCAAACACTTGACTTCGGGGGGTTCGTCAAGTGTTTTAACCCCCATTCCGGGGGGAGTTTAGTTTCTTACTCAAGAGTTAAAACACTTGAATGAGACACTAAAGATTTTAAAACGCAACCAACCCCCCGAAGGGGGGGGTTAGTTTAGTGTGTTACTTAAGGGGTCAAGTGTTTTAACCCTCCATTCTGAGTGGTTAGTTTAGTTTCTTACTCAAGGGTTAAAACACTTGAATGAGACACTAAAGATTTTAAAACGCAAGGGGGTTGGTCAATTGTTTTCAACCCTCCGTTAGAGGGGGTTAGTTTAGTTTCTTACACAAGGTTGGTTGCGTTTTAAAAAATTGACAAACCCCCCCGAGGCGCTCCGAAAGGAGCGTTCTGCTCTAGTAATATAAAACAGGATACTGTTTATGGCTATTAGTTATGCATGAAAGTTCTCAGTAATATTGGTAGATGGCATAATGTTCGGTTTTGCAAGCGATGCTATCATTAGGCAACTTTTATATTTATACTTCTACAGGAGACAAAGGAACGAAAGGAATAAAGAGAAATAATAAATTGACAAGGGATAAAAATAAGAGAGGACCCGTTCCCGCTGACTTTCAGCGGGAATTTCCACTAGTTGTAAATAATTAGTTCCGCCATTATATTGCGAACTTTTATTGGCGATCTCATCAATTACATTTTTGTGGAGTGACATCGATTGATTTCTCCGTACCTGCTTGTAGCTATAATAAACTACTTGATTAAATACGTGAAAACTTTTAATTATAAAATCGATATTGTCTTGCGTTGACAGTGCCTTCTCTGTGATACACATTCATACGCGAAAGTAAGAAGGCTGATGGTGTTAATATTACACGAACATGAATATGCAGTGGACTGACTGCATTTTTCCCCACCCCTGCTGTAAACTGTGGTAGACTGATGAAAAATGAAGTAGGATTAATTCTTCCCTGCTTTTACGTCTCAATAAAATACTCATTCCCGATGTAGCCCATGTTCCCATGAAAACTTCCCAGAAGTTATTTACCTAAGAAACTTCCTGAATTTCCGTTCTGTTATACACGTGCTTCCGATGTTTAAAGAATGTCGATATCCGACCCCTTAATGAACAGGAAGTGTATATATATACCGCACAAAAGAATCGTATTTATATTGTTCAGTTTTTAAAATACCAGTAGCGTGTCTTCATTTAACTTTATAAAGCGCAGTGGTTGCTATATTTGCCACCTGCTTTAAAGTAGAGAAAGTAGTATATTGGGTTTCGTTTGATTCTCGGAATAAACAGTAATCCCACCCCCAAACATAACTAAGTCTTTATTTATAAGTCAATAAGCCATTGTTCCGTAAATATTTCTCCCTTAGCTTTTAGTTTACTTGCAGTTTAACAGCGCGTGTTCAACGTCTTCCTACTGCAGACACAAGGGCCATCTTCTCTTTCTCAAATCCTGCCCTGATCCCACGTGCTTTTTGAACACGTCTTCCGCCGCGCTATCCCGAGTTTCTGCAGCCCGATTCTGGGAAAAGTATGGACACTCCTTTAAGAAATCAGGGCCACTAACAACAAGGCATCCTGCTCGGTATGGTCACTGTAATAAATAGAAAATTATTGGCAATAGCATCTCAGCCAATGAAGAAATTCCCGCCTTCTTAGGAAGCAGAAGGTTCATTACCGTGCTTACAAAAGCCCGTCATTTGGTTTCTGTTCAGAGCCATACAAATACAAGCCATCTCTACTTACTCACTCTCCATTTTAATATTGTCCTTGTATCTTCGCCTAGGTCTTACGAGAGGTATCTTTTCCTTAGACACACTTCTCGTCTACCCACCCACCCCATCCTCTTGGTGAAGGGCCAAAGAAGGCGTCGTTAAATAAGTTACAGGTACAGGATTAGAGGTGTCGTGTGATATTATTATTTATTATTTATTTAGTGTTCTGTCTGACGACAGGTCCATATAAACAGGATCCTTCCATCCTTTTCTCGGACTGGGACCTGTTCATATACGTTCTTGGCAGATGATCCAGAAGTGGTTTGCCATTGCCTTCTTCTGTGTGTGAATGGAGTAATTGTTGGGATGCCACGGAGGAAAACTCCGTGTTGCCTAGACCACGGCCTTGCCCAACACAAGTTATAAATTCGGGCACCGCCGGGAATCGAACCAGAGACCCCCAGGGTTACAAGGCCAGCAACGTAATTTAAATTACCTGCTTCAGAGGATCTTGGTCCTGTGTGTTCGTGAGGCAGCCTCAGGACACCCGCTGTGTTTTGTGAGTTTAGCAGAGTGTACATTACTGACGCGAAATGTTGCCATGGTTTTCCATGTGACGTATGCACAGTGCCATTCATCTCACTGAAGTCGAAAATAACCCCAGGATTGGGGTGGGGGTGGGGGGTGGAGTATGGCAAACGGACATGAAGCCTTGTGCAACAGCATCATATTTTTTCGAACTTAGGCCTGTCACCCCCACTTAGCTACATCAGCCGTACGTCGACAAGGTTTCTCTCCTCTCCATTTGATTTTATATGAACCAAAAATAATTTCGTTCGGAAGGACTTTGAAGAACCGTGGTATTTTTAAAAATGTAGTTCCTCGGCTTGGTGGAGGCTAATAAATCACGGCGGACTGATTGCCGGGGTTCGATTCTCAGCATGAACAGGTATTTTTCTCGTACTACTGCCGTCTCTGGTTCTTCGTGACTTATGAATGAAGTTTATCTATAAGTGGTTTCAAACTGACATGATTATGGTCACTCAGTTTGATAAATTTAGCTGCCTCCATATTTTGATTATACGTGACTATCGGAACGGTTGTACAGAATAGAGCAAGGCGAGGTTTTTCACAAACTCCGTACTCGCAGTAACCCTGTTTAAAATACGCGTTACATGAGCAACATGTTTCGATCTTGTTAACGAAAAAGATTTACTAAGATTTGCTGAACATGTCGTCCCTGAGTCGCCCATTTCCTTTCCGCCATGATAGAAATTTATAGAAAGTGCAATCAAATTATGTCACACAGACGCCTTGTCCTTGGTGGACTCCGGGAATGTATTGCTACCATGGCAGGCGCCGTGCGTGGTCATCCGAGACAGAAGACGGAAAGCAGTTTTTGAAAAATATTGACGAAAAATAAAATAAAAATGAAATGGAGAGGAGTTGATAAGAAAATAGTAAAGAAAAGAAGAATGTACGAACTGCAATATTTTTATTCATGGCTACCCGTGTAATGCCCTATGCACTTGTAGGTACAAGCTCCCTTCATCTTTAGTCACGGACATGGAGGCAGAATGCTCCTCCGAAATGTTGGTGTGTGTATATATATATAAGTCCACAGGGCGTTGCGGTCCAGAAGACCAACATCGACATACGAAGCCACCGTAAGAATCTCAAATCTCATACGTACCTGCGTTCAACGCAAACTGACACGGACAAATGTTCATTCCCTTGGTATTACATTACAATCGTCTTTTATAGTAGTCTGTTCTGACACTAGTAGACAAAGGCTTACACAGGAGGCATATAATGACAGGATAGTTATGTTGAAACTCACTGCTACTAAATAATAAACCTCGCTGTAGGTAGTGTAGGCGTATTCCCTACGGAAGTAAATCAGTGCAGCCATTGAAGGTTCTGACCTGCCAGTAGCCCGAGAGTGATAAATATTTAAGCTTATTTCCAGTAACAAAAGTTGTTATGACTTGGGTTCGAGTCCCACGTAATACATGAATGTTCATTTTGTTCACATTACGTACCCTTATGTAGGTCTACAATGAACACCCACACAAGTCAATTGAATAAAAATTTACTTGGATATTATCCATCGTCTAGTAAATATAAAACGTAAAACGACGTTTCGGA